TGCCACGTCCACTATCCAAGCTTTTTTGTCTTTCTTATTGACAATCCCAGAGCAGTTTAACTTTATCGTTTTTATGACTTTCTCTATTTTATGATCCCACCAGTTCTTGTTTGCAGGCAAATGATATTATTATTATTATTATTATTATTATTATTATTATTATTATTATTATTACCTTGCGTCAAGGAGAGCTGTAGACTCCTTCCCTAATCACAAGTAGGTGTCAATACAGGTAGTCCTCAGTTTATAACAGTTCGTTTAGTGACCACTCAAATTTGTAACAGCATATTTGTCTCCTCACACTTTCTTCAACCGTTGCAGGATCCCTCAGGGTCACGTGATCAACATTCAGCCGCCTGGCAACTGACTTGTCTTTATGACGGTTGCGGTGTTCTGTTTGTGTGTCTGTGTGTCTGTGTGTGTAAGTGTGTGTTTGAAGGAATCCCCTTTGGTGACCTTCTCACAAGCAAAGTCAATAGGAGGAAGCCAAATTCACTGACTAATTTAACAACTGCAGGGATTCACATAACAACCGTAGCAGGAAAGATTGTAAAATGGGGCAAACCTCAACTTAAACAATGGCCTCACTTAGCCACAGAAATTTTGGGGTCAGTGGTGTTCGTAATTCAAGGACTGCCTGTGCTTTGTTGAGCTTTGGCTGCTCTTGAGAAGGAGAATTGGGCCTGGCTAATACCTGCATGGAAGTCCACCTGTTGAAAATCCCTCTAACCCAGAGGTCTTCAAACTTGGCCCTTGTAGGACTGGTGGACTTCGACTCCCAGAAGTCCTCACTCGGCCATTTTGATGACACTGCAGACTTGGATCCAGACCAAGGGCCTTCAAACCTGGCCCTTTGATGACTGGTAGACTTCAACTCCCAGAATTCCTCAGTCGGCCATTTTGATGACACTGCAGACTTGGATCCAGACAAGGGGCCTTCAAATTGATGCCATGTGGATTTCAGCTCCCAGAATTCCTCAGTCGGCCATTTTGATGAAACTGCGGGCTTGGATCCAGACCAGGGGTCTTCAAACTTGGCCCTTTGATGACTGGTGGACTTCCAACTCCCAGAATTTGCCTGGCTGAGGAATTCTGGGAGTTGAAGTCCACCAGTCATCAAAGGGCCTACTTTGAAGACCCCTGCTCTAGCAGAAGGCAAGGCCTTCTGTTTTGCTTAGGACATCACTTTCAGGTGTCCCCGAGAACTTCAGGAGGGAGTTTGCCTCTTGTCTCATCTCAGGGGTCTTCCAACTCTGTGCTTTGGTCCCAAATGTGCTTCTCCAGGAGGCAACTGGACTTTTTTTTGTTTTTCCTTGAAGACGTTTTGCTTCCCATCCAAGGAGCTTCTTCAGCTCTGACTGGATGGTGGGGAATGGAAGGATTTATACTCCTTGCAGACAGCTGGTCATTTGCATCCTTTTAGAGAGCCATTGAGGCCACTTGGTGGTTTGTCTGTGTCCTCAGTTGTCCCAAAAGTGCTTTTTTCAAGAGGCAGTTGGACTTTTTCTTTGAGGACCTTTCGCTTCTCGTCCAGGAAGCTTCTTCAGCTTTGACTGGATGGTGGGGAAATGGAAGGATTGATACTCCTTGCAGACAGCTGGTCATTTGCATCCTTTTAGAGAATCGTTAAAGCTACCTGGAGGCTTACCTGTGTCCTCAGGGTCACCTGAGTGGTGCAAATGGGGGTGGAGCCTTCTTTGGCTGCAGGATGTTTTTTGCCCTGGGTCCCTTCACCGTCAAAGATGGGCCCTGGATGATGGGGATGAGTCCGTGTTGTCTGCATCTCGAAGCGCAAAGGGTTCCTGGAGTCTGCGATGTTTTCTGGAAATCCGTTCATACTCCCGCACCATCCGAAGGTTGTTCATCCCAAAGTACACACATAGCTTGTCTTCAACAGGGAAGGGACACAGGGTGGAAACATCCTGCATCCAAGAAGGCCTCACCCCCATTTGCACCGCTCAGGAGACCCTGAGAACACAGAGATAAACCTCCAGATGGCCTCAACGGCTCTCTCAAAGGATGCAAACGACCGTCTGTCTGCAAGGAGTGTCAATCCCTCCATTCCCCACTATTCCAGTCAGAACTGAAGAAGCTTCTTGGATGAGAAGGGAAAGGTCTTAAAGAAAAGGCCCCACACCCATTTGCACCACTCAGGAGACCCTGAGGGCACAGAGATAAACCTCCAAGTGGCCTCAACGACTCTCAGTCTAAAAGGATGCAAATGACCAGCGGTCTGCAAGGAGTATCAATCCTCCCATTTTCCCACCATCCAGTCAGAGCTGGAGAAGCTTCTTGGAGGAGAAGCGAAAAGTCTTCAAAGCAAAACAAGAAAGTCCAGTTGCCGTCTGAAAGAGCATCTTTGGGATAACTGTGACCTGGATGACTGAGAAAGATTGGACCACCGTTTGGCCAGGATGGAATAAGGAGCCTTGCCTTGGCCAGGGGGTTGGACTAGAAGACCTCCAAGGCCCCTTCCAGTCTTAGGATTTTATCCTTTCATCTAGTGGAGAACCTTTTGCCCCAGGTGAGAACAACTGCTAGAAACAAAGACGGCTCTACCAAAGGTGCTTTTTTTTTTCCCCAGGAGATCACCGGACTTCCTGGTTTTCCTTTGAAGACCTTTCGCTTCCCATCCAAGAAGCTTCTTCAGCTTCTTGGACAAGGCAAAGGACCAGCTGTCCGCAAGGAGTATAAATCCTCCTGTTCTCCGCCATTCAGTCAGAACCTGAAGAAGCTTCCGGGAGGAGAAGCGAAACCTCTTCAAAGGAAAAACCGGAACGTCCAGTGGCCTCTTGAAAAAAGCACCTTGAGGACAACCAGGACCGGGATAAATACAGAATAACAGGTAGAGGAGACCTTGGAAGTGTGGGAGATGAAAAATAGCCCCCTTCTCACATAATAAGATAGGGCTAGTGTTGTGGTTCCGGCTAATGAAACATTCCAAAGAACTTCCAGGCATTGATTTTCCTAAAAGCCTTTTATTGTTACAAAATGTCGGCACAGGCACAACGGAGGGATGCTAGGATCTAAGTTCTCTTCCTCTGAGCAGTCAAATTATCAGCATGTTCCCTCCCTAAATTAGCCCTCCTATCTCACACTATCCAAATTAGTGTGAAGGTCAAATGTTTTCTTCCTCTTTCTTTCCCGGGCTTTACCCCCAACCCCCCTCCTGCTCTTTATTAACCCCATATTTACCAGACAATTCTGCATATTGTCAAAAGCAAGAATATACAGTATTTGCAGCGTTGACAGCTAGAGCAGCGATGGCGAACCTTTTAGAGACCGAGTGCCCAAACTGCAACCCCAAACCCACTTATTTATCACCGGGTGCCAGTTGGGCGTGGCCCACTGGGTGGGCGTGGCTGTGGCGGTCCTGGCAGACTGGGTGGGTGTGGCCAAGGTGGGCGTGGTCACCTTGATGTTGCTCGTGGGGAGGAGCATGTGTGGGGGCCGGGCAAGGTTGGGGAAGATCCAGGGGGTCTCTGGCAGGCGGGGTGGTGGGCAGCAGGCTCGTCCTGCGGGGTGAGGCGAAGTGAGGCAGGGCAGGGGTGCCATTGCCACAGGGCAAGGTGGGGCAGGGGCCGGGGTGGCAGCTGCCTGACACCATCGGCCCCGCACACAGAGGCCAGCGAGCGCATGGGGGCTGACAGTGTCCATCAGCAGCCCCAGCCTGCGGAACCCTTGATCAGCGCACTCTGGGGCTCCGCAGCCCATCGCCAGCAGTTCAAAGAAGCCACCTCTGAGCTGGACGGCTGGCCGACAGCTGATGAGGCGATGCAGTGGGTCGTGCCTGGGAAAAGGAGAGCATGCGAGGCCAGGAGGGATAGGACAGGCGGGAGGGAAACGGGATGCATCCGGCCACGTGGGATCTCAGCGAGTTCGCGGGCAGCTGGTTCTGCCCAGACGGGACTCGTGGCTCTGAATCCAATCTAAACAAACAGATAACTCGATAGAAATGGATTAAACAAACATTTATTGTCCAGAGATTCTAAGCAGAGACTTACTATGCTGTAGATGCATCTGATTTTCCATATTTGTTCATTCCTATAGGTCATTTAATATTGAATTTTCCCCTCTTCTTCTGCAGAGAGTCACATGTTGGCAAAACACATGTGGCTGGATGAACAAAGGCTTCCATCTGGCTTGTGTCCAGGAGGTCTCCCATTGACCCTTTTTGACTCCTCCCACTGACCCATCAACATACCCAGCATTGAACCCAATAACTGCCAGATATTCTAACATACTAACACGTGCTCCCTAGTTAGAGTTACGTAGGTCTATGCCAGTGGTTCTCAACCTGTGGGCCGGGACCCCATTTGGGGTCGAACGACCATTTCACGGGGAATGCAGTCCGCCATTTTTTCCCCCCTTTTCCTTAGCTGTGCTGCTCCCTTTTATTCTATTGGCTTTTGAAAGCCAATAGAATAGACTCTCTTGAATAGAGTCTAATTCTATTGGCTTTCAAAAGCCCATAGGAATTGTCCAGGCTGTCTCTGCCCTGCTGAGCCCGCCAAAAGTCCCAGTCTGCAAACGGTGCTGCACCAGTTGAGTAGTCCTCGACTTACGACCGGTTGAGTAGTCCTCGACTTATGACCGGTTGGGGGTCGCGGCATTAAAAAGGTTGAGAACCACTGGTCTATGCTAAGTCCAGAACACTCCCCGCTTGGAAATTTACATTTCCACTATTAAATAACTGAAATAGCAAAGAACATAGCGTTAAGGCATACAATACTCAAAGGTCACTAACTGGTGGCTAAATAGGTAAAAAACTTGGTATGAAACATGCATAACTATAAAGTAATACAAAACACGCACAATTATGCTAAAAAGAATAAGCAAGTGTTACATCAAAGAATGCCTGGGACATGGCACGCGTGCCCACAGAGAGGGCTCCGAGTGCCGCCTCTGGCCTGCGTGCCATAGGTTCGCCACCACTGCCCCAGGCCTCCGTGCTTGGGTGATCCACTCCCCAGTTAACCCTTTGCGTCTCCCTTGGGCAGGCAGGACAAGCTGAAGATCCACATGCGGAAGCACACGGGGGAAAGGCCGTACCTCTGCATCCACTGCAGCGCCCGGTTCGTCCACAACTACGACCTGAAAAACCACATGAGGATCCACACCGGCATCCGTCCCTACCAATGCAAGTTCTGCTACAAGAGCTTCACCCGCTCGGATCACCTGCACCGCCACGTCAAGCGCCAGAGCTGCCGCATCGCCCGGTCCAGGAGAGGACGCAAGTCGGCACCCTGGAGAGCGGCCAGCCTGCTCTTCACCCCGACCGGACCGCCGGATAACAAGACCTTCCTGGTGCCCCCGGCTCTGGAGGACATGAGTGGCCACTTGGGGGGCCCGGGACTCTGCCTTCCGGGCCCCGGGCCCTTCCTGGAAGGGGCCAAGAACGGGTTGAACCTGCAGGAGCTGCAGAACCAGCTGGAGGCGACCCAGATGAAGCTCTTTGGGCGGACACACCTGGACCTGGAGCACAACGGAGGCCTCTTCGCCTTCGCCCTGAGCCACGGCGAGGGTCTCTCGGGACGGCCCTATTTCTCCCTCCCGGATCCTTGGGTTTCGGGGTTCAACGGACTGGCTGCCCTCAACCCCCTAGCCTCTCTCTCTGAAGCTAGCAACTGAGTTGACTTCTCTTTGAGGGACGGGTTGGGTACGTACCATGTCTACTCCTGATGCTTACTCTCCTAGGAGAATTGTGGAAATCCCCGCTTTAAGTGTGTCGAACGCAACTGGCCCGGATTCCTGTGAATGTCTTTGGGGTACAGGGGGATAATTCTGCTACGAACGGGGGGAAAGGCAGCCCCTTCAGAGGAGTAGGGGGCTTGCTGTAGACTCCCAGAATGTCAGGGTTAGACAGGGCTGGAGCTCTTTTAATGCAAGAGGTGACCAAACTTGGCAACTGTAAGGACCCTCCCCACTTTGCATCTTAAGAAGACAGAACTCTTGGAATAATTCTTCCAACAGGCATCCTTTATTAAGAGAAAACGGTTGCAGGCGTTCTAGACAGGACTTGGGGTCCAAGCTCTCCCATTCAAGGTTCTAAGGGGTTCCCCAGTAGTCCCACCCAATCACCCCCCTCTTCCAGCGACAGTTTCAGGCATTACAATCCCACCCCCCTTTTCCTTTCTGCTGTCTGGATGGAGACCTCAAAGAAAACTACATGAAAGGTAACAGCTCCATTCTTATGGTTAGCTCTTTTGGCAATACACACAATCAGTTCCTTTGAAGTCTACCGAAGGAAGTGAGGGCCATAAAGCCCCTTTGTTCACCCCCTTCCCTTCATCGTATGGCAGAATCCAGAGAAGGCAGAAATGGGGTTTTTTATAATTGATAACTAGAGATGAAATATAATTGGATTCTGACAGCAACTTCAACTCCCAGATTTCCCAATCCATCCATTCCCTCAAAATTAGCTTCTAGTTTAGACCGGCTTTCGGTAGCTTCCAGCTAGCTAGCTGTCCAACATGGCTGGCTGGGGAATTCTGGGAGTTGAAGGCCACAGGTCTTACAATGGCCAAAGTTGGACAGCCTTGTTCTAATTAATTAATTAAGAAGAGCAACTAAGACGATCCAAGGCCTGGAGGCTAAAACATACGAAGAACGGCTGTGGGACTTGGGTTTGGCTAGTTTAAAGAAAAAAAGAAATAGGGGTGACGTGATAGTAGAGTTCTAGTATCTCAGGGGCTGCCACAAGGCAGAGGGGGGGGTCACATTATTCTCCAAAGCACCAGAGGGAAGGATGAGAAACGATGGTTGGAAACTGACCAAAGAGAGAAGCAAACTGGAATTAAGGAGAAACTTCCGGACAGGGAGGACAATTAGCCAGTGGAACAGCTTGCCACCAGAAATCATGGGAGCTCCATCACTGGAGATTTTTAAGAAGAGAATGGACAGTCACCTGTCTGAGATGGTATAGGTTCTCCTGCTCAAGCAGGGGGCTGGACTAGAAGACCTCCAAGGTCCCTTCCAGGTTCTATTCTACTCTACTCTACTCTACTCTACTCTACTCTACTCTATTCTAATTATTTTTATATTCTACTCTATATTTTCTTTATTCTATTCTATTCTATATTCCAATTTCTATTCTATTCTATTCTATTCTATTCTATTCTATTATTCTATTCTATTCTATTCTACACAACTGTGGCTTGGGTCCATTTTCTCAGTCACGTCAGTCATGTAGATATAACTTCTGCCTTTTTGCTCTCCTGTCTCAAGGAAGGAAGATTTACTGTGGGGTCTTTGGTGCTCTCTGAGCTTGGTTGTGTTCTTGCAAATGTTTCATTACCAAACTAGGTCATCTCATCAGGGCTAGGACCTAGTTGGGCAATGAAACATCTGCAAGAACACAGCCAAGGACCCTACAATTCAACTCTGAGATACAAATAATATCTTCAATGGAAGATGTAGCTTCACAAAAAGATTCCTTTGCAGAATGATAATCAAAACCTCATTTAGGTTATTATTAAAGATTGAGACTAGACGAGATGAGACGAGACTAGACTAGACTAGAATAGAATAGAATAGAATAGAATAGAATAGAGAAAATATAGAATAGAATAGAATTATAGAATAGAATAGAAGAAAATATAGAATAGAATAGAATAATAAGAATAATAATTAGAATAGAAGAGACTAGAGTAGAATAGAATAGAGCTGGAAGGGACCTTAGAGGTCTTCTAGTCCAGCCCCTCACTCAAACAGGAGAACCTATACCATCTCAGACAAGTGACTGTCCAGTCTCTTCTTAAAAACCTCCAGTGATGGAGCGCCCACGATTTCTGGTGGCAAGCTGTTCCACTGTCCTCCCTGTCAGGAAGTTTCTCCTTAATCCAGGTTGCTTCTCTCTTTGCTCAGTTTCCATCGTTGTTGTACAAACACATCCACTCGGAGACCCGGCTGCTGGCCACCTATTATGGGGACCCCACCTCCCTATGGAGATCCAGTCTGCCCCTCCCCTCCTGCGTTCGGAAGTATAGGCAAGTCCCCACTTTTTCCATCTAGGCCAACTGGCAGGCATACTCCGAATGTTGGGATGTATTGCTAGACGCACTACTTCAAATTTTTTTATCCCTTGAGGTTTTAATTCAGTTTTAGGGTGGATTTATTTTGATTGACGGGTACAACCTGCCTCCAGAAGCGGTGAACACTCCAACACTGGAAGTTTTCAAGAAGAGACTGGACAGCCATTTGTCTGAAATGGTCTAGGGTTTCCTGCCTGACATGGGGGTTGGACTAGATGACCTCCAAGGTCCCTTCCAACTTTATTATTATTATTATTACTATTATTATTGTTGTTGTTATGTGGCTGTGTCCCGAGTCCCCTCCTCCTCCTCCTCTTCTCCTCCTCTTCTCTTCTTCTTCTCCTCCTCCTCCTCCTCCTTCTTCTCCTCCTCCTCCTCTTCTCCTCCTCTTCTCTTCTTCTTCTCCTCCTCTTCTCCTCCTTCTTCTTCTTCTCCTCCTCCTCCTCTTCTCCTCCTCCTCCTCTTCTCCTCCTCTTCTCTTCTTCTTCTCCTCCTCCTCCTCCTCCTTCTCCTCCTCCTCCTCTTCTCTCCTCTTCTCTTCTCTTCTCTCCTCTTCTCCTCCTCTCTCTTCTTCTCCTCCTCCTCCTCTTCTCCTCCTCCTCCTCTTCTCCTCCTCCTCCTCTTCTCTTCTTCTCCTCCTTCTTCCTCTCTCCTCTTCTCCTCCTCCTCCTCTTCTCCTCTTCTCTCCTCCTTCTCTCTTCTTCTCCTCCTCCTCTTCCTCCTCTCGTCTCCTCCTCTTCTTCTTCTCCTCCTCTCCTCTTCTCCTTCTTCTTCTTCCTCTCTTCTTCTTCTTCTTCTCCTCCTCCTCTTCTCTCTTCTCTTCTCCTCCTCTCCTTCTTCTTCCTCCTCCTCTCTTCTTCCTTCTTCTCCTCTCCTCTTCTTCTCCTATCCTCTTCCTCCTCCTCCTCTTCCTCCTCCTCGTCGTCCTCCTCTTCTTCTTCTTCTTCTCCTCCTCCTCTTCCTCCTCCTTCTCCTCCTCTTCCTCCTCCTCTTCTTCTTCTTCTTCTCCTCCTCCTCTTCCTCCTCCTCTTCTTCTCCTCCTCTTCCTCCTCCTCTTCTTCTTCTCCTTCTCTTCTTCCTCCTCTTCCTTCCTCCTCCTCCTCCTTCTTCTCCTTCTCCTCATCTTGATCCTGATCTTCCTTCTCTTCTTCTTCTCCTCTTCCTCTTCTTCTTCTACTACTACTACTTGTTATTATTATTGTTGTTGTTGATATTATTGATATTTTTGAATGATAGCTGCTCAGAGCCTTTGGGCACGATCAGCACACAAAGTACAGCTAACAAATCCAAATGGGAGAAAATATGGATGATTAAGAGTATTTCTCCCCCCCCCCCCTTTTCTCTATCTACAGACCTGTTCTCCAGAACTGCATTGGTTCCCAGTGAAGAAGCAAGGACATATTTTTCCTTTATAAAAGGACTGTCTTGAAAATTAAGCTCCCTTTGGAACTTTTTTTCAAAATGCCCCCAAAAGACTTATCTTCTTTGCTCCGACAAATGCAGGGAAGAAAAACAGAACTTCCAGCAGCAAGTTCAGACTTTTTTTTTTTTCTTGGTTTATTATCTTTCTGGGTGACTCTTTTACACCTTATTTTTTGGGGGGGGGGTTGATTTTGGATTTTGACTTCTTTTTTTTTCCCTTTTTCGGGCTGCTTAAACAACCCAGAATCCTTGTAAAATATCCAAAGATTCTAAAGACTGTAAAATCCAAAAAAAGAACTGGGTGCAAAAAAAAAAAAAAAGATCCTTCTGCTTCCCCCCCCCCTTTTTTTGGGGTTACATTTCCTGAATGATGGAATGGGGGGGAACGTGGTAGCAAGGGCGGGAAATCCTTTGGAAATTTTTCTATTTATAATTATTTTTATGTGATTGCTTTATGTAAAGAAAGAAAAGAAAAGAGAAAAAAAAACAAGACATCAGACAGATCTGCCTTAGATAATCGAGGGACAATCATCCTTAACTTGGGTTGAAGTTCTAGATTTGGGGTTTCTGGAAGGCAAGTAAATACGCTTTGTGTATTTATTGAGCAGTATTAACTGATTTTATTAAATTATTGGCCCCCTGCAGGATGTTTGGTGTGCCTGTTAGTCAAATCTTGGGGAAGACAAACGTCGTTGGGCTGCAAGGTTCCTGCTTTCTGTCGTGATGTATACACTTAGGACCTTCTTAAGTGGACACCTACACAAAGTGATGTGTTAAAGCAGTGGTTCTCAACCTGTGGGTCGGGACCCCATTTGGGGTCGAACGACCTTTTCACGGGGGTCGCCAAACAACACAGTCCGCCATTTTTCCCCCCCTTTTCCTTAGCTGTGCTACTCCCTCTTATTCTATTGGCTTTCGAAAGCCAATAGAATAGACTCTCTTGAATAGAGTCTAATTCTATTGACTTTCCAAAGCCAATAGGAATTGTCCAGGCTATCTCTGCCCTGCTGAGCCCGCCAAAAGTCCCATTCTGCAAACGGGGCTACACCAGTTGAGTAGTCCTCGACTTACGACTGGTTGGGGGTCGCGGCATTAAAAAGGTTGAGAACCGCTGTGTTAAAGGGTACCATTGAGCTTCCAAATTTAATCCAGATCTGGGCCATTCTGTGCTTTTTCCCTTGGACTTCCTCACCTGACCTTCTCCACGATCAGAGGACCAACGGGGGGTGGGTGGGTTGGTGATGTCCCTGTAGTTAAAAAAAGTTAAGGTTGATTGCCCTTGGATCATCTTCACGGTTTATCCGTTAACCGGTTCCTGGGTGGATTCATGTTGCGTTTCGTTTTTTCCTAGCGGAAAGACCATTACAGACTTTGATTCACGCTCGAGCGAGTTTCTCGATGTTTACTGTCGGGCAACTGGGGTCACGTTGTTGTGGCTGTTTGATGGTGCGAGAAAAAGGTTTGACACTCCGGGTTGGAATTTGAGGAACAACTCGCTGCGCGACAACTTGCCACAGGAGGGTTTAACAATTCGATTGAATTATTTAAAATAAATTTAATTTTTTTTTATTTTATTTTTGCCCTTCACATTTCATTCTGTCCCTCCTTTTGCATCCTTCCTTTAATGCAGTGGTTCTCAACCTTTTTAATGCCGTGACCCCCAACCGGTTGTAAGTCGAGGACTACTCAACCGGTCGTAAGTCGAGGACTACTCAATTGGTGCAGCCCCGTTTGCAGAATGGGACTTTTGGCGGGCTCAGCAGGGCAGAGACAGCCTGGACAATTCCTATTGGCTTTTGAAAGCCAATAGAATTAGACTCTATTCAAGAGAGTCTATTCTATTGGCTTTCAAAAGCCAATAGAATAAAAGGGAGTAGCACAGCTAAGGAAAAGGGGGAAAAATGGCGGACTGCGTTGTTTGGCGACCCCCGTGAAATGGTCGTTCGATCCCAAATGGGGTCCCGACCCACAGGTTGAGAACCGACAATCTAGTCCAACCCCCTGCTTAGGCAGGAAATCCTAGACCAGGGGTAGGCAACCTTGGCTCTTTTATGACTGGTGGACTTCAACTCCCAGAATTCCTGAGCCAGGCATGCCGAGGGAAAAGGGAGAGGTTTCCAAGCTGAACCAGGCTGGCTCAGGAATTCTGGGAGTTGAAGTCCACAAGTCATGAGGGGGGGCATAGTTCCCCCATGCTGGCTGAGAAATTCTGGGAGTTGAAGTCCACCAGTCATGAAGGGGCCACGTTTGAAGACCCCTGGCTTAAATATTTAGATATTTTTCCTCACGTTTACATGATCAAAATTCAGGCATTTGGGCAGGGGTAGGCAACCTTGGCTCTTTTATGACTGGTGGACTTCAACTCCCAGAATTCCTGAGCCAGCCACGCTGAGGGGAAAGGGAGAGGTTTCCAAGCTGAGCCATGCTGGCTCAGGAATTCTGGGAGTTGAAGTCCACGAGTCATAAAAGAGCTGAGGTAGAGCGTATCTCTCGTTCCGCAGCGAGTTGTCCTGGTGGCGAGTTGGCCACGGCAAACTGTCATAGACCCTTCTGGATTATCCTGTCTCTAGTTGGGACCAAGCGTTGGTCGGTTTTCCCATGGGATCTGGTCTCAGGATCCTTCAGAGTTCTGCTCCAGTTCCTTTCTTATTTTCAGTGCATCTTTCTGAGCCCTGGGATGACGAGGACACGTGTGAAACCTTCAGCTTGGCCAACATTTCACATGGATTCAAGGAGTTGTCACCCAAGCAGCGATCTCTTAAAGTTGGAATTAGGAACAGAGGGTTAGAGCAGAGTTTTCCAACCTTGGCCACTGGAAGATGGGTGGACTTCAACTCCCAGAATTCCCCAGACTGCCAAAAACTGAGTCAGTCACAGGATGACCTGCTTTACAACCTTTGTGACCTATGACTGTAATGGGCAGGCTTCATTACAGTTGTGAATGGAGGATATAGTAAAATATAGCAAACGCACATTAGTTACTCCTGATCTTTGCAACAGTGGGGAATATCTGTAGTTGGGGTGTAGGATGAGGGAGACAGGTCGTTCTCCGAGCTTGTGAGTTGGTTGTTCTGTCCCAGCCTACGTGAGTCCTTGTTAAGCTCACAAGGAGAAATGCCTCTTCCAACAAACAGGCTGGAACTGCAGAAAAAACCCAATCCCCTTTTATTATTCACAGACCTGAGTCAATGTCCAAGGCAAACAAACACAGTCCACAGAAACTCGATCCTCAACACAAACGGTTGCCTTTGGCAACCAGCACCTCCCACAACTTCCCTTTTAATATGCAGCCAAGGCGTGGCTTCCTAATACCTTCTCCTTTGCCTTTGGAGCCGCCCTGTTGCATTCCTCTGTCCCACTCGCTTCTCTTGCCTGCACATTCGTGCATCCTGGATTTGTCCCAGCTGTTCCTCATCACTGTCCAACTCAGGCTTCCAGCACAGCTGTGTCTCAGCCTGAGTGCGAGTAGAGGGGCCAGGCTCCTCGTCAGACTGTAAGTCTTGGAGCTCCTCAGAGCCTTCCTCTGACTCTGATGTCATTCCAGGCCCCTCCTCTGAGTCCTCAGACTCAGCTGCCGGGTCTACTGGCTGACGAGAAATCACAACATTGGTTTCTGAATGTTTTATTACCAGGCTACTTAACATCTTCAGCGGAGTTGAGGGGATGTCAGTGTCAGTATATAGCCCACAAACCCACAGCCACAGCCCACCAGGAATTATCCAGAACCAAACTCAGAAGGATGAAAGAAACAATGTAATCTACAAAATCAACTGTAACCATTGGAACCGATTCTACGTGGGGCAAACACCACGTCAATTAAAAACCAGGATCCACAAACACCGGCTGGCAGTCAAACGCCACCATCCCAAATCCTTAATCTCTACCCACACTGACACCAAACAACACCAGTTCGATTGGAACAACACTAAAATCATCAGCCGTGCAACCACCCACCACACTCGTGGGTTCATCGAAGTCTGGCACTCCACAAGCAACTCCATCAAGAGACACATCTGCCTAGAACCAGCCTACGAACCCGTCAGAATCCAAATCAACCACATAGCCAACGAGGGTTATGCGTGGAGTGTGCGTGGTTTCATGTACTGCCTGCATCCCACAGATGGGGCTTTGCTTGTTTGTGTGGACTGGTTGCTGTCATGCTGTGGCCTGGTACTGGTCCACAGACCAGGAGTTGGGGATCTCTGCTCTAGAGTCTATCTGAACATCAGTGTAGTAATTTAAGGGAATCAATCTGTTTGGTTCCAATAGTTTCACTAAGGCCTGCAATCCACATTTTGCATCTAACTTGGTGACACTTAATTATGAGTGTGTTTACTTAGAAGTCACTCGCAGCAGCCGTACAGGAATGTGTTTGTTAACCAGTACTGTATAGAGGTTGCAGCTTCTGTAGAACATGAATTAGAATAGAGTAAAGTAGAATAGAATAGAATAGAATAGAATAGAATAGAATAGAATAGAATAGAATAGAATAGAATAGAATAGAATAGAATAGAATAGAAATTGGAATATAGAACAGAATAGAATAGAAACTTTATTGTCACTTTGAATGTATACTAATTGGCATATGTTAAAATGAAATTTCGTTGCATTCAGCTCTCAAAGGGTCACCACCTCTGATATACCCTACATAAATATGCATAAATAAATAAATACAGAATTATGCATATACCCACATATATGACACAGAGGAACAACAGTCTAGTTCGGGTTCTGTATACGTGTGCAAGGCGAGAAAAATGAATCTTGCGAGTTTACCAGACGGACGACATAGCTGTCACAGTATCTAGTAGTCCTGTTCTAAATACTTCAAGACCTCCTCCCAGAGGGGAGCAACAGAAACAGACCGTGCAGTGGGTGTGCGGGGTCTGTAACAATGCTCCGAGCTCTAAGCGCATATAAGCGCTTATAAGCAGCATCCTGAATCACGGGAAGCGAGCCTCCTATGATCTTCTCGGCTGTCCTCACCACTCTCTGCGTGGACTGTCTATCTGAGGCTCTGCTGCCACCACACCAGACAGCGATGCAGTTTGTTAAGATGCTCTCAATCGTGCCTCTGTAAAAAGTGGCTAGGACAGAAGGAGGCAGATGTGCTCTCCTCTGACGCAGGCAATACAGAGGCTGGTTTGCACGCTTCACTAAGGACGACGTGTGGAAAGACCAAGTCAGAGTGTTATCTGCACCCCCAGATACTTAACACTGTTGACCACCTCTACAGCTGCATCCTTCATAGTGGAGTATGACTATGCCAGCTCTTTCTGAAATCTACAATGATCTCCTTTGTTTTATCAGTATTTAGAACCAGGTTACTTTTATTGCACCAGCCCACCAGAGCCTTCACCTCTTCCTATAAGCATCTTCACTGTCATCCTGGATGATGATGATGTTGGAAGGGACCTTGGAGGTCATCTAGTCCAACTCCTTACTCAGGCAGGAAACCCTATACTATTTAGAAAAATGACTGTCCAGTCTCTTCTTAAAAACTTCCAGTGTTGGAGCATTCACAGCTTCTGGAGGCTGGTTGTTCCACTGGTTAATTGTTCTCACTGTCAGGAAGTTTCTCCTTAGTTCCAGGTTGCTTCTCTCCTTGATGAGTTTCCATCTGTTGCTTCTTGTCCTGCCTTCAGGG